TTATGAGAGATTTAATTTGTGGAGATGGTTGATACAGGACAGGATGTGTGGCCTCCACACAGGGTGGCTGGTAGAACACTGAGGAGCTCTTGCAGCAGGTGAGTGAGCAAGTAGAAACTCTAGGTGTGCTTTGGAGGAGCTTAACCACTATGGTGTTCTGCCGCCCACAGTGGAGCTTTTGTATAAATGATTCACCTTTCATTTCTTTCATACTGTGGCTTGAGCATCAGGGCAGACTGTGAAGTCTAACCTCCTGTGGTTCATTACTAGCAAGATCCATTCTTGCCTCCAGAGCCAGTGTGGAGGAAGGATTCTGTGGTTGTGTGTCTATGAGAAGATCAGGTATTTGATCTCATTGCCATCAAGGGGTGTGATTTTTCACCTAGGGTCTGAGTGAGCCTCTGTGAAGTTTTAGAGAAGCAGAGCTTCTTCATATCAGCATGACACTAAATGCTTCATGATTGCCCATTTTTCTCCAAAAAACTTTCTGCAAAAAAGCTTTAATTATAAAATTCTATGAAGCCCAAGGAACAATATTTTATTAAATTTGATTTATGCATACCATTTTAGCTAATATTATCAGGGAAATTTCTAAGTCCAAGCCTTAGGAGCTTGTCAGAGATAAAAAAGATTTATTTTTGGAAAGATACATTTCCTGGTGCTCAAGGCTGTTGGAAATTATGGGAGGTGATTGTCAGAAGGAGGCAGAGCGGAAGTGCAGGATGAGGAGGCATCCTGCTACCCCATCTGGAATGCTGCCTGCTGGGAGAGCCTCACAGTGGCCACTTTCTACCAACCTTCATCATCTTAGTTATATTTTTGTCAATATTAAACACCAAAGTATAATACTTCTATAAAGGTTGTTCACATGAAATGTACTCCTTTGACTACTTTCCATAAAATGTGAAGTCAATTTCTTTCTATTTTTAATCATGAAAGTGAAGCCTGGAAGCTTTATTTTCTGTGTAATGGAAAGATCTAAATTTGTGGCCTTGTTTCCATTTTCCACTTTTCCTCAGGAACGCGATACCCACATCATATCCCTGGGCGGTGGTTCCCTTCAGGGATGGTATTGATGTTTAACTGCTGAGGGAGGGCAAAGGCCTATTCTTAATCATTGTTGGGTCATACACTAGGGAAAAAGTGTGATTTCTGTAACTCTTCAAAATCCAGACCAGATATGGTTTTATGCTCTATGGATCCTCCCTCCTTTCTTTCTGTTTGTCTTCTTCAATTTTCATGTTTTCCATTATTATTATTAAAAATCTCAGGAAAGCATATGTTGTCTGGAAAGTATCAATTAATTTAGAAACACTTTTTAAATATTAGGCTTTTATAGTACTCCTGGGTACAAAGGTACTTTTATAGAAATAGTTCTTGTCTTTCATTTTTCTCATGAGCCCATAAACCAGCATTTTTGTATCAATTTTTTTGTTATAATACAGCACATAAAATGAGTATTTAGAAAAAATACAAGCTGGGTGCCAGTGGCTCACAATCCTAGCTACTCAGGAAGCTGAGAGCTGAGGATCATGGTTCAAAGCCAGCCTTGACAGGAAAGTCTGTGAGACTGTTATTTCCACTAAACTACCAAAAAGCCTGAAGTGGAACTGTGGCTCAAGTTAGAGCACTAGCCTTAACCAAAAGCAGCTCAGAGGCAGCGGCCAGGCCCTGAGTTCAGGCCCCAGGACCAGTACCCCCCCCCCCCCAAGTTTAAGATGTACTAAAAAACTGTACAGTATAATCTCTCACTCTCAGAGGCAGTGTCATTGGTGAGGGTTTATCTCCTTCCTTCCAGATAAATAAAAATTTTTTTTTTATATTTACATATAGCCATGGAAAATTCATAGTATCTCTAGCTGTGTGTTATATATTGTGGCAAAAATACATAACCAATTTATCATTTATCACTTCTTTTTTCTTTTGGCCAGTCCTGAGGCTTGAACTCAGGACCTGGGCACTGTCCCTGAGACTCTTCGTGTTCATGGCTAGCACTCTACCTCTTGAGCCATAGCATCACTTCCAGCTTTTTCTAAGTAGTTTATTGGACTTTCCTGCCCGGTTGGCTTTGAACTATGATCCTTAGATCTCAGCCTCCTGAATAGCTAGGATTACAGGCATGAGCTGCCAGCACCCTGCTTAACCCCTTTCAAATAATTTAGTGTCTTAGCTCCTTCCTATTGTTGTGTGACCACTGTTACAATGATTCATTCACAGTTTTCATCTTCCCAAACTGTAATTGTATTCATTAGACAGTAATTCTCCATTCTCCTCTCCCTCTAGACCCTGGTGACTACCATTTTCTTTGAATTTGGCTACTGTATCTATCAGACTGAAATCATATAGCATTTTTCCTTTTGTGACTGAGTTCATTTAGTGTAATGTCTTTAGGATTCATCTGTGTTCAACTGTATGATTATAGCCACTGTCAGAATTTCTTTTTATTGCTGAATAATATTCCACTGTATATATAAACCTTTTTTGTTTTTCCATTTATTTATCTATGGACACCACTTTTCTCTTTCTGGAGACAGGACCTTTCTCTGTAGCCACATTGGAATCTGAGATCCTTCTCTCTCAGCTTCCTGAGCTCTGAGATTATAGTCATTCACCATCAGGGCATCTAGCTATTATGAATAAGGCTCCTATGAACTTGGTATGCAAATATGTCTTTAAGGCCTCCTGATTCTTTTGGGCATATACCTAGAAGTGGGATTGCTCAAGCATGTTGTAGCAATGATTTGTTTTAGAAACTCCCATACTATTTCCCACAGTGTTTTCACCTTTTATTCTGATTGGCAATGCACAGGGTTTTCATTATCTCTTCAAAATAAAGCCTCTACTCTTCTGATAAGAAAAGATCATGAAAATCAAGGTAAGACTGAGGAACTGATGAAGAATGAAGGACATTAAAGACATAAGACAATTAAATGCAAGACATGATTCCATGATTTGTTATCTCGCATCCTTACCAACATTTGTTGTTCTATTTTTATAGTTAAGAATATCATACATATGATGATGAAATATCATGAATTTCCTTATTGATTAGTGATGTTGAGTATTCTCGTGTTATTGACCATTTGCGAATATTGTTTGGAGAAATGTCTATTCACATCTTTTCATTTTTGAATAGGGTTGTATATTTTTTTTGTTGAATTGTTAGAATTCTTTATGTAGTCTGTATGCCAGCTCCTTACCAGATCTATTTCACTCATTCTGTAGGTTGCCTTTCACTCTGTTAATTGTGTCCTTTGATCTACTTCTTCTTCTTCTTTTTTTTTTTTTTCTTAAATAAGAGACAGAGTCTCACTACTTTTTCAAGGCTGGCCCTTAGCTAGAGTAGTCTTTCTCTTTCCTCAGCCTTCCTGAGTATCTAGGATATAGACATATACCAATATTCCTGACTCACAACTTTTAAGAAATTTTGGTGAAGTTCAGTTTGTCTACATTTTTCTTTTATAGTCTGCACTTTTGATGTCATATCTAAGAAGTCTTTGCCAGATCCAGTCACGGATATTTTCTTCTAAGAGTTTTAAAGCTTTAACCCTTACCTTTAGGTCTTTGATCCATTTCCAGTTAATCTTCATATATTATGTAAGCTGTGTGATACATTTCTACTTGAAGACAGGTTGGAAGAATGTTACTGAGAACTTTTTTTTAGTGGATACCACATTATGCTTGATCTCGGTAGCATATTTCTAAAAACAAGAACATTCTCTCACTGAACCTGAAACACGGATCAGGATCAGAAAATTACTATTAACATTTTACTAATGTCCAGTCCTCATGTTACATGTGCATTTACCAGTCATCTTGGTAAGGTCTCCCAGAGTGAAAAGATCTAGTACAGATTCACACCTGACATTTAATTGTCCTGTGCATTTCGTGTCCCTCATTGTAGTTCAATTCCTCAACCTTTCCTTGACTTTCATGACCTTGTCTCTTTGGACGGGTAGAGACATTATTTTGACTGCTGTCCTTCAGTTTGTCAGATGTGTGTCTGTGTATATGCTGGCCTGGATGGTACCATACTGTTGTGAAACATGCTTCCATTCTTAGCCAGCAGTGGCATGTGCTTTATTGTGCACAGCTAGTACATTCACTTAACTTCAAGACTGAATTCTGTCATATGAATACACCGCATTTTGTGTAGCTGTTCTCTTTTTGGTGGATACATAGATGGCAATTTTTTGCAAGTCTATGAGTTATTGAAGGGGGAAGAGGAGGCAGAAAGAGAATGACAGCTAAAAATTCAAGGGGGAATCTCTTGTTATTAAAAAGTCATTCTAGGCGCAGGCAGATGAACGTAGGGCCAGCCTTCCCCATGTTTTGTTCTGTGACACTGTTGTCAAGACTCTGAGCTGGTTGGAGTCTCTACAACTGGATCTTACTTCTTCAAAGGAAGAGGTGTTCTAGGGTATAATGAGTAGGTGGCAGGGAGCAACTCCAGTGATATGAACCTACTATGCATTCTCTGCACTTGTGCTGTCAACAACGCTAAGAGAATTGTGCTGAGGAATGTCACCATCGATCTCAAGCTTTCTGAGGAGTACCTCAACAGTCTCCGGATCTTAGAGTGAGACCTCCCAGACACATGGCCCATAAAGGGCAGCACACCCCGTGGAGCCTTGATATATACCATTTGTTCCCTATACTTCTTGGTAGAATGCACCTTGTAGCCTTGTTATGACTGGTCTACTTTTGGTGTATGTGTTATACACCAAGTATTGGGCATATGTGAAATAGGGCAGAGGCTCTTCAAAAAGCTCATAGCACAGAGGCAAGGGAGCAGGATGACAATGACCAGTGCTGGGGCTGAGGACACAAGAAAGGCCATGATGGGGAGGCAGAGAAGCTTCCAATGGATGCCTAGGGGCACGGTGTCCTCTGCTGGGAGCACAAACAAGCTCCTTGAGGCCTCACACGGCTTCTACGCCACTCCCATGATCCTCAGCACCAGGAACCAGGAGGCAAAGAGGCTGGTAAGAAGGAAGATCTGTAGGAAAGCTCTAGAGTTTGAGTAGAAAAGAGTAGACCCTCCCAATGCAGGTAAAGGCCTTTGGCAATTTTTCTCCCTGCACTGCCAGTGATAAGGGCGTGGGTAGCCCATAATTACTTGTAAATGCAGGGGGGAAGGAGGGGATGGGGCATTTATTTGTTTATACTAATGTACATATGAACATTTCCTTTTCTAAGTAGTAAAAAGTCACTCCTCTGTGGTATTTGTTACTGTTTTCAAAATTAACATTTCAAAATACTGAAAGTAGAGAGCAATATAAAAATACCTAGCTATAGCAAATGTTAATATTGGCTGTAGTTCTTTAGTTGTCATCTCATTCAATAACTGACTAACCATGGAGTTTTACTGAGACTTGTTCAAAGCTAGTGTCTCACACAGAATTATTGTTAATAATAAAATTGCCTCAAAATATGTAATGTGTTTTTTTCAAGATATTGATATTTTGGGAAAGCGAGTCAGATTTATTTAAAAAAGAAAAGCAGAAAAGTAGGTCTACCTTCCAGATGTGACTGTGAATAAAATACCAGGCAGGCACAGCCAACTTTTCTTTTAGATTTCTTTCATGTCTTTCTTAATAGAATTTAATAAAATAAGACAGGAGGAGGACTCATTAAAGGTTAAGAATAATAGGCCTGAAAGAATTGCTGGGAACCTGCATAGAACCATTTTTCATCTTGGATCTCTTCCTTGGCTCCAGAGTCGGGTGAGACGAGAAGTTCGTTCAGGAATTCATTCCCAGCCTATTTTAGTACCAGGCTAGGTTTGTGATAAATCAGCTCAATAATCATGCATGACATTAGGCAAATCAAGGGAAGGAGAAGGAATCAGGTCAGAGCTCAGTTTACTTTACCAAGCCATGGGAAATGGAATTCTTTAACGATAAGTAAATAAATTAATTCAGGACTTGGAGAGGAATGGTAATAATAGGTGGCACCAGGAGTTTCTTTGAAATGGTTTTCATCTGAGGAAATGGAAATGCAGGAGGACCCTGTCTCTTCTTAGCTCACACACCTGCAGGGGCAGAGCTGTAGATGACTCTGGATTACAGAACTGTTGGACTGCCTGCAGCTGTGACAGAAGCAAAGACACAGGGTCAATTACATCTTTCCACTACTTCTAGGAAACTTGCTTTTAGATACCAGTGCCTAGCGATGTAACTAGATGTGAAATTTCCATGTTCCTACCTTAGTGGATGGTTGTAGTTTGTTTATGAACACCCAGTAATTAAAAATACAATATAGCATTTATAAATTTGAAGTTAATATATTTATATGTAAATTGGATACATAATATACATAAATAGCCCAGTATGGCCTCAAACTCATAATTCTCATGTCCCAGGAGTACTGGGCGTTTGTCTCTACACCTAGTACATTGTGGCATTTTAAATACATATATTCAATGTGTAATGTGCATCTCTTCACGCACTTATTTATTTGCGGTGGAAACATTGGACATCTTTTCTATTTTTAATTGTTATCAATTATAGCTATAGAATATTAGAAGCTATGCTTCCTGTCCAGTTGTATACCTATATGCTAACTCTTCCTCCCCTTATTTCCTAATGACTGGCAACTACTATTCACTCTATCTACTTCTGTCTTCAACATGTAAATGAGAGCATACAATATTTCTTTCTATGCCTGACATCCTCTAGTTCCACTTACATTGCTACAAATGATAAGCTTTCTTTTTTATTGCTAAATTATATTTCATGTATAGGTACCACATTTTCTTCATCTGTAGTATTTATCTGTTGCAGGACACTTAGGTTGATTATAATCTTGCTAATTGTAGATAAACATGGGACTGTAGACATCTCTCTTCAACATAATGATTTTTTTCCCCCTTGGATCAATAATGGGTTTTGTTTTTAATGCTAAATGACATCCCTGGGAGAATTTCTCTTGGCTGGCCTGTTGATAGTACAAAGAATCCATACAAATGTCTTGCTATTTCTACTACCTTGAGAATCCTGTTCCTTCTGAAGTGGCAGGAATGTGGGTTTTGTGTTATGTATGATAGATACCTGGTTAAGAGTAAGGACAGACTTGTGGCTTTCAGCCTGAAAACCAACAGCAGTGGCTATCACTTCAACCACACATGAATTTAAGGATTTGGTTTATTTTCCATAATACTTGAAGCACTATATATTTAAGAACATAAATGACATAGGAGTATTTTAGCATGTAGCAGTGTGGACATATTTCAGTCATCAGTTTCGGATTCTGAGTGTAGAAGTATTATTTCTGAGGGTATTTTTCTTCATTCATTCTAGGGATACAGACAGTTTGGTAGCTAAAGTGGTGTCATCCAGGGTCTTTCATGTCTCAACACCATGGGACAGACCAAGGCAGACATGCGGTTCCCTGGATAGGGGCAAGGAGCAATATTGCCACATCAGATCTTTGCCATGAACTGTCTATAGCTTTGATTTGGCATTTGTTCTTCAAGAGGCTTAAAGGGTCCATTGTCCAAAAAACAGTGCCATTTTGGACTTGGAAATACAATCTGTGCTACCGATTGTATGCCAGCCTTGCCTATGGTTAGTCTCTTGATATGGAGTGGAAAAGGCTTCCTGGGCTTCTTGTGGACTGGAGCACACATCTGCCTCTTTTAAAAATTAACTAAGGGGCTGGGAAGGTGGCTCAGTGGTAGAGCGCTTGCCTTGCATGCATGAGGCCCTGGGTTCGATTCCTCAGCACCACATAAACAAAAGGCCAGAAGTGGCGCTGTGGCTCAAGTGGTAGAGCGCTAGCCTTGAGCTGAAGAGCTGAGGGACAGCGCCCAGGCCCAGAGTTCAGGCCCCACAACTGGACCCTCCCCCCAAAAAATTAACTAAGTTGTTATTATGATGATGTGCAGAGGGGTTACCATTTTTAAGTCAGGTAATAAGTATATTTATTTTTGGGACATGTCATGCCATCCTTTACTTCCAGTTTTTCTCAGTTTTTATCCTGCCTCTTTTAAAGGCTCATGAAGGCCCTTGAGGAATTAAAAGCAGGGAAAGAGGAATAATCCAAAATAAGAACACAAGTATCTGGAAATTCTAATTTGTTCACTGACTGTTGACCCTGGACACATTGCAGAACTCATTGAATTCTGTGTCCTATTTGTCAGAGAATCAGACAAATTCTAGACCCTTTGGATCTATAGTTCTAGAACCCTTTGGATCTATAGTGTTGACTGCTGATGTTTTAGAGGAGTGCTATTTTGTTTATCTGCCTTCATTGGCTCTCAGCTGACACTGATTTTCTTAGGCCTTTATTCTTGAGAAGAAACAACCAAGGATGTTTTAAAATCTCCACTTAGGGCTCATAGGAGCTTTGCAGGCATCAGTTTCTGTACCTTGATGGAAATCAGATGTCAGAAGAGGAGGACATGTATGGTAATGAGCCATATGGGCCCAGTTGCATTTCAGACTCATCATCCTTGACCTTCTGAGATGAACCACTTATGTTTGGTTTAAACTTGAGCTCAGCAGAACAAAGAAATGTCCTGAGAGTGGGGGAAAGGAATTCCCACTTTTTCTGCTTCTCTAATCAATCAGCTCCAAGGTCTCAAAGGCCAAGTATTTTATAAATAACAAATGCAAATAACTTAACATTTGCATTTTGAATATGTATCTTCTAAAATAGATTAGTGTTTTCATTGGCTTTGAGTAGGAGGCTAACTTCTGTACTTGACCCATAACTATATATGTAAAAATTGGGATAGTTGCCTGCATTTGGAGTTCCTTTTCATAAATATTTGTTGACTGTTTTTCATGTGCCAGATTTGATGTCATGAGTATCAGAAAGAGAAATAAGACATGGTTTCTTTCTCCTAGAGGCTCCTACTTTAGTGGGATGAAAATCATATTAAGACAGAGAAAATACAGATTGTCTTGGCCAAGGGATCAAGTGTAATACAGAGAGCCTGGGGGGGGAGGGCATGGTCATCAGGATGGGATATAGGAAGGAGTAGGTAACAGACATTTGGGTGAGAAGACTCAGCCAGATCTGAAAACTTGGCCCTTGAGCACTAGTCAGTCACTAGAGTTCAGCAGGGTAGGAAGGTCAGATCTGCTTTTCAGTTGTGGCCTGCTTGTAGCAGGATAGTAGGTGGTTTGGATAGAGTGGCAATTGGAGGTAGGGGACCTGCACTGACCCTGGATAGAAACTACAGTGGGAGCTACATGTGCCAGGGAAGACAAGAGGAAAATGGTTAACAACATCTTAGTTGGGGGTTGAGGGTTGTATTGGGAACAGTGTTTATTAATATTATTATTATTACTATCTTTATTATTATCAAGTAGTTAATACTTATTACCTGACTTAAAAAATGGTAACCCCTCTGTACATCATCATAATAACAACTTAGTTACTTTTTAAAAGAGGCAGATGTGTACTCTAGTCCACAAGAAGCCCAGGGAGCCTTTTCCACTCCATATCAAGAGACTAACCATAGGCAAGGCTGGGCATACAATCTGTAGCACAGATTGTATTTCTTTCTTTCTTTCTTTTTTTTTTTTTTTTTTTTGGGTCTGGTCGTGGGGACTGAACTCTGGGCCTGGGCTCTGTCCCTCAGCTCTTCAGCTCACGGCTAGCGCTCTACCACTTGAGCCACAGTGCCACTTCTGGCTTTTTTCTTATGTGGTGCTGAGGAATCGAACCCAGGGCCTCAGGCATGCAAGGCAAGTGCTCTACCTCTGAGCCACCTTCCCAGCCCACAGATCGTATTTCCAAGTCCAAAATGGCACTGTTTTTTAGGTCATTGAAAGGGGATGTTCTTTAAGGGAAGATTGGGATCCCAGCCACTTCCTGTCTTTGCTTCTAGCTGCTGTGAGGTGAATTGCCCTCCTCTGATACTTGCTCCACACTGTGATGCTCTGCCTCATCCCAGGTCAGAAAAACAGGGCTAAGCAGCCATGGACTCAAACCTCTGAAACAGAGCCAAACTGGTCCTTTCTTCCTTATAAGTTGCTCATCACAGGTATTTTAGTATAGAGATGGAGAGCTGACTGACACAACAGTGGCCCTTTGTTGTTGGTTCAGAATTGTGGGTAAAGGGCCAAGTCACTATGGTAGAAAGCATTTTTCTCCTCTGATGCCACAGCAGATCTTGGTGA